TTGACAAAACTCCTCTCAGCTAGCACGTCTTTTCAAAGTGAAAGTAGCCTTGTCACCTGACCTGAATACAACGTGCTGATTCGCTAAAATGGACTTATCGGCTTCTGTTCAAAAACAACAAGGGCGCTTGTCGGCTCCTGCAGTAAAACGTGAACTCGCGATAAGTGGACAAAAACCGGCTTTTTTGACAAAACGTGTTTAGGGTTCAGATCACACTATATGTGGAAAATAATGCACGGCAATCAGCTCTTTTTTTATATATATATATATATATATATATATATATGAAGAGTTCATTTGCCAAATATTAGCCAATATCACAGGCTAACTTTATCTTTAAAATAATAATAATAATTTTAGAGAGGCTGCATTTTACATTTTAAATAAAAAACATTTTTTATATAAAATTTAAATATATTTACAAAAACATAATAATGAAAAATCAAATATTAATAATGAAAATTATATTTATTATTTTTAAAATTGTCCATTATCAGTATATATTTCTTAAGATTTTATTAGTAGTCATAAAAATACTTTTAAATATTAATATAAAAATATTAAAACTATTTAAGTGTAAAGGAGGCAAAATCATTTAAATGCCTTAAAAAACTCCCTTCACAGGCAGCTCACTAAAGTTTGGGAAAATAACATTTCTCCCTTGATGTTTTAGCACAGGTTGAAAAAAAAAAAGTTTAAAGTACTTCTTTTTCTTTCTTTTTTTTCTTTGGAAGCTCTGGGTCACAGAGTACCAAGAAAAAAGACAAAAAAGCGGGAAATGAAGGTAAGGGTGGTGAAAATGTGAGGAAACATGCTGGGAAACAGCTAGAAAACTCTTTTACGGTACGCATGGACATTCTCAGAGATGTCAAAATAAACGATCAAGACAAGAAAAAGGGGAGCAACTTCTTTTCAAAGACCATCATGTTTTGACCTTTTATTCAGGTTAGGAGGTTTTTACATAGAACAGAAAAAACCTCCCTGAGCGTTTTGTTCCAGTGAATAAAACACAGTAAGACAGAACGAGCAATTAATTACTTTTCCAAGTACGTAAGAAAAAGAGCTGCACCACAGGCCACCAATTTGAGCTGCTGAGTCAGAAAATGAAAACGTCTAAGCCTAGCTAGTTGTAAAATAATAACAACATTAATAATCATAATGACATTTGATTTGGACTAAAAGACAAATACGCATCTTTTGGTTTGTTTAAGCAAATTAAAGTACTTTTAAAGTCCTTAATAAAATTAAAATGGACTATTTTCTTTCTATAAAGGATTCTTCAAAACAACCATGTCTTCTCTCAGAAGTCACTTTATGGAAAAAATATGGGTTGTGGACACCGTTTCATGCTTATTTCCGGTTTCTAGCTTGGTCCTGCTCATCTAATTGTCAGTTAAATGTAAAACTGGACTGAGTGTATTCAATTTAATTGTCTCTTTGAAAACAGAGACACTAACATACTTTATTGAGTAGTACAGATGCTACAAACTGCAGAATTATCACTCAAAACAGCCTATCTGTCTGCCCTCTAGTTCTTTGGCGAAATAAAAACCTTTCTATCATGTTAACAAGGACTTTACTCCGTAAAAATCTGAGTTTTTAAAAGCATTTGCCAGAGTTACGCTCATTTACAGCTCAAGATGGTCTGCCGCTCTGTTCCTGGATGGTGTATTTGCTAGACAGCACAACGTTATCATAATCAAAGTTCTCATCCAGATGGAAAGGAACAACCTCCTCACTTTCATCCTAGAATGACAAAAGTTAATGAAGGATTTTACAGAGTCTCTGTGAAATGCAACAGAAAAGGGCATCTCAGTCCCTGGGTTTCTTCCCAAGCTTGACTGCTCTCAGAGAGACGCATTGGTGTGTGTGTGTACCTGGTTCTCAGCTGCACTGGGAGTGTGTGTCCTCTGGTCTGTGAAAGTAGAGGAGATCTCCAGCAGTGTGTGGTGACAGAGCGATGAAGAGGAGACAGCTATCAGATCTTCTTCAATCTCACCTGGTAGCGTACATGTGCCTGACAACACACAACAAAATTCATTGCAAACTGTTTCTTCTTTTACAAGTGAATGTGTATATCTCTGACACTCTCATCATTATCTTTGGTACTGTTTATGTATTCATCTGTTGATTTGGTATTATACTGTTCTAATGTATTTAAATCTGTTCATTTTGTTCTTCTCTACATTTCATATGCTCAGTTTTACTGTGTTGATGCATGTTTTATAAACTATAAACAACTATGATTGTTATTTGTGATCAATTTTAGGTTGCCACCTTAAAGTCTGACGAGGCAACCGATGAAAATTTGTCTATTTGGCTAACTCTGGCTTATTTACAGTACTTGACTGTAGTTTAATGAGCACTGTCTCTTTTAAATAAAAATTCTGTCATTATTGACTCACCCTCTTGTTGTTCAAAACTCTTTCTTTCTTCCCGTGAAACACAAAAGAAGATATTTTAAAGAATGTCTGTGTTGCAGGTTACTATATAATGAAAGTGGATGATTGTCAAGCTCCAATTATAACAAAAAAATATGACTTTAGACAATATTCTGTGTCTTCTGAAGCCATTCAATAATTTTTTGTGAGAAAAAGAAAATTCTAGTTATATTTTGTTACAAGTCGTAAAGTGAAAAAAGTCAAATTTGCAAAAATACATAATCCCTGAGACTTTTGTGTATGCACAAGAAACTTTCATGTTAGCTGTTTCTTGTGAGCAAGTGAAAGTCTCAGCGTAGGCGGAGATTTGGGAGATTAATTACTAAACCAGACCATCCAGAATTAATTGAAATTATGAAAATGAAATACATTTCTATGTAATTATATGTAGTTTTTGTTCAAAGTGTGGTGGACAATTTAGGTTGTTTTGTGTGTGTGTGTGTGTGTGTGTGCGCGCGCGCGTGATTTCTTTGACACAAAGAAATGTCAGAATTTTTTAGTTGTTTTTTTGTTTACAAATGTCCCTTGACTGGAAGGAGTTCAAATGTTCTGTATATTTGAAAGCCTATTTTGGGAGTTTAGAGCCTTCTGGAAAAGAGCAACTTGGACATTTAGCAAAACATCTTCTGCGTTCAACAGAAAAATAAAGTTTAAAACAACATCAAAATAAATACATTTTGAGTGAACTTACACTTTATGTCATAAAAGAAGGACTGATGTGCTAATAAGCTGTTTACATCCTGTCTCTCAGTGGATTTTTGCAGTAGTTTATGTGTATGTGAGAGAAAGACATCAGGCCTGGCAAGAGCTCAGCTGATGCTGATCTTAATTAAAGATCTAATTACTGGCACAGTGAAAGCCATAGTCTCAGCTGCTGGGTGAGGACCAGGCATCTGAGGGTGTAGCGTGCATTTCTGCATGTTTGTTTGAGTGTATGCAAACACCATATGTGTGTGAGTGAAGGATCCCCACACACCCACGGCCTTCAGAACAAGGTGGTCTCAAAAACAAGATCATTAACCAGCTCACTAAAGAAACACGGGAAGAAGCTTCATGCCGCTAATGAATCTGAAGGCTGATGCTGTTACGCCGTGCCGTGAACCTCCCTGACAGGCGAGCAGAGGCGTGTTTCATTAAAACTGTAGATACCAGGTAGCTCTTCTTGAGCCTTGATCTGCTTTGACCAAAACCGCCTTCCCCTCAATCCACTTTAAGATTCATCTGGATGCCGATCGCCGGTGTGGCGCTGAACCCTTAAGTAAAGGCAATAGTTCTTAAAGGGATCGTTCACCCAAAAATTACAATTCTGTCATTAATCACTCACCCTCATGTTGTTCCAAACCCGTAAGACCGTAGGTACGTCATGGTACTCTTGTGAAAGCGAGAAGAGAAGAGGTTGTTGAATAAAGTCATAATGTGTTTTCTTTGCGCACAAAAATTATTCTCGTAGCTTCATAACATTACGGTTGAACCACTGATGTCACATGGACTATTTTACCAATGTCCTTACTACCTTTCTTGGCCATGAACGTAGTAGTTGCGTTGCTGTCTATGGAAGGTAAGAATAATTTTCATTTTTGGGTGAGCTATCCCTTAACATAAAGGATAAGGTGCGGGCCTTCACATCAAGGTTATTATAGTTTTGAAAAATTCATAGTTTCTTTATTTAAATTTGCATTTTGGTTCAGTTACTTTTAATTGTGCATAAATAGTTTTTATTTCTTTTTTCATATAATAAAATAGGTTTTATTTAGTGTTAGCATAGTTTTACTTTTCATTCCTTCTAACATAACACAAACTGTTCCAGCTGCGTCTTTCTAAACAACAAACAACTGTGGTGTTTAAGTCCTCAATGAATCAATGTTTTTAGTTTTTGAATGAATCTAATTAATGATTCACTCATTAAGCCATTTGTCTCCTTCCTGAATGAAGCAGCATTTCTGAACAAACTGATTCAGTTGACTGTATAACTGATTCAATCAAAAGACATGACAACGTAGTCTGTCACTGAGTTTATATTTACTAAATGTGACATTCAAAAAAAGCAAACTGTTATTGGTTGTTAACCATGTCCTTAGTAGCCTCCTCCTGAATAAAGTTCTTTTTTTGACAGAGTGCATCAATAATCAAGTTTGAGAGATTAATAACTAAACCAGACAATCCAGAATGAACTGAAATTATAAAACTGAAATACATTTTTCTGTAATTATATTTAGTTTGTTCAAAGTGTATTTTTCATTTTATTTTAGGCCAGTTCCTGATGAAACTTTTATTTCACTTTTTGAAGAAAAAAATCATTCTTTTTACTCTTTTTTTATTTTATTTTATTTATTTTTTTGCCGTAATTTTTGTTCAATTAGTAAACTTGCAGCACCAAACGGTTGGAAAGTTTTTATTTGTTTATTTATTTATTTAGCCTAATTTTTAGCAATAACATTAATTTTTTTCATTAAACAAAACAATTATTTAAAAAAAAAAAATTCTGTCAGATTTTCAAAAGTTATAACACCAAACACCTACAACATTAGGACAAGAATGCCAACAGCGACCTGCCAACTCCCGGCAAAGGATATTTTTACCATCACCAACAAGCAGTGGCATGATTATTCATGCTAATTAACTTCAAGTTTAGCATGCATCTTGTTGTTATTCTGTGGATACGACTGCCATTATAAACACGCCACCTAATGACTTTTACATACACCCTTTCCTCTGAATTAACACTCTGATCACAGACAAACACCGAAAAACACGGAAGCCCTGCTCTGAACAGTAAGCCTCTCCAATCAAAAGAGGCTTTCATTCCTCCAACTATTTTATTTATTTTTGTATTAAACTGGTCATTGGAGTTTAAATGAGCCTCTCTGGCACTGCAGAAAAGAGCGACTCATTACAAGCCTGCACAGCAAGCGTTAAGCCTCGCCAAGCGAGTGCTTGCCCCCGGCTCTAATGACGAGGGAGCGGTTTGGAATTTGCATGCATTGAATATGTGTAATAAATGGTAATATATTTAAATCAAGCTGTATGACAGCTCTAATTACAAAAAATGGCATGCACATGATATCCACTAAACCCTATTAAAGGTAAGGTGAGCCCATGCAATCCTTACATATGCACATGAAAATAATATTTATGCCAGCATGCCTCGCTATTCCCATTTTTAAAATACACCCATACAGGTGATGCCAACATGTCAATGTGTATTATGTGAATTTTACATGAATTTGTGATAGATCCAATTCCATTTGAAGCTGCTGTCAAATATAAAAAAGATGACGAGAATTGATGTGCTTTACATGAGAAAATAATTTGTTAAAATGTAAATAAAGACTCCAAATGTGCATCTAGGCCACTGTAATCAACAAAAATAAACTGTTAAGTGTCAAGTATTTGAATTTGTTACGTTTTAGAGTAATAAACACCTGTAGTGTCAGCATTTTCCTCTTCATCCTCTGAATCTCCCAGATAATTATCAAACTGCCAAGGGGGGAAAAAACTATATTTTATGAACAGTTATTTTACAATTACAATTGATTAGAATTAGCAAATTAGTTTTGTTACTTCACACAAAAATTTCATTCACAACTGATTTGTACAATGCAGTTAGATGTTAACATTTTGCTCAGCTAACAGCACTTCCCATAAAGTTTAATGTTAACATGTTTCTAAGCTATAACAACAGAATGTTTCTAGCTTAGCATACTCTTGACCTTAAAAATGCATAGCACAGGTAAATATTACGTGAAATCCTGACTCCAACAGTTTAATGTTAGCTTAGCATGTTCTAATTAGCTTAAAATTTCAAAACAAAACAATTAAGCAAAATAGTCCCATTTTATTAGATTGAAATCTTGAATCAGTTGACTTCAACAGTTTAATGTTAACACTAGCTTAGCATACTCTAATTCGCTTATAAACACAAGAACATTAAGAAAAACATTCCTTTTTTATTAGATTGAAGGGTTGACTCAATTGATTCCAACAGTTTAAAGTTCATGTTAACTTATCATACCCTAATTAGCTTAAACATACATAGCACACAATATTAAGTAAAATAGTCAGTTTTTATTAGACTGAAGTCTTGATTGCAGTTTGACGTTAACGTCAGCTCAGTAATGTTAAGTAAAATAGTCCTTTTTTATTAAATTGAAGTCTATAGACTCCAAGATTACTCTAATGAACTTAAAAATACAATAGCATAATTCTTTTTTATTAGATTGAACTCAATCGATCCAAATAATGTTGAAGTTAGCTTAGCATACCGTAATGAGCTTATAAACACAATTATTAAGTAGGCTAACATTGCCTTTGTTTGGTTCTGAATGAAATAAAGCATGTTTACAGGCATCTCAGATTATAGGCATCTCCAAAGAACTGTTTACCTTCACAAGTCTGTCTGGAACAGAGTTTGATGGGCCGCCCAGTCTTCCTCCAACACAACCGCCATCCAGCAGCACCTATACAAACACACAAACTCATAAACTCACCATCTCATTTCATTTAATGATGCTCTGAAATGACAGCAGCCATGTGAATCGGTGTAATTACAATCAAAACAACATTATAATCAATACAGCTGTTTTTCTCTCCTGGTGGCAGGGAGCTAAATAATGCAGAGGCTTTTTTTAGCATCGACTAGCCTGGAATGTTAGCTGATGTGCTTTGCGTTATTGACAGTAACCAGTGCTGTGGCTCGCCAGAGTCCCACTGAGATCAATACACAAGCCAGGAGGGAATCTTAAGCACCGTTCACACAGACAGACAGATAAGCAAAACACACATTGCAATGAAGCCATCCAATACACTGAGAGGAGAATTCCAAAAGTCTTGAGGAAGAAATACATCAAAAAGACAGAACATAAAGAAAAATGGGGAATATTTTTAATATTTTGAGTGGTGCTTGCTCATACTAAAGACACCACTACAATGCTAAGTTGCTAAGGGTTTCCATGCCATTTTCAGTGTGTTGCTACTGTAGGTGGATGCATTCTGAAGAAAGTGGTGCTTTCATATAACAAGTTTCAGCCACAAAGCTAGGTTGTTGTTACCAGAGCTTTGCTATATGTTTCTACATGGTTGCTAGCAGGGGCATTTTCTTCATTAAGGCGATAGGGCGATGCACCACAAAGTATGAAAGGGAGGATTTTTTTTTCTGTCACATTCAACCACAATTGTCACCTTTCTAGACTGTTTGTTCTGCCTCTGGATATATAGTACAATCAGCGTCAAGTCACATTTTGTGGAGTACCACCCCTCTTTGGACAATTTCACTCTGGCTGAGAATCGCCCAGACTGTTCTCATTGGCTTCCAAACAAAGGCACTGCAATGCAATCTTTATGAGTTCCAGGAGGGCTAGCACTACCGTGATTTCGTCATCATACACAACCTTAACTTGTGCAGAGATTGGTGGGAACAATCATACCTCTATTAATAAGAAATATGAATTCAGAACTAGCCTGTATGGGCTGAATAAAGCAAACCAGTATCTTACCAGTAAAGTTTACATGGATGATGACTGCAATGGAGGTAAAGACGATTACAGTGACATACAGGAGTCGTACATTATAAGACATGCGCGAGTCCATTATTATTATTGTGCATACAAACAGACCGTGTACTGTATGTGCGCTCTCTAATAGCTCTTTGCACGAGCACATTTCAGTATGGTCACATGTCTGGCAAGTGTTTTATAATGGACACTCACTGAAGAAACGTGTTTTATAGGAGTTTGCAATAGTCAGTGATGTTGCAAGCACATTTTCTTCAGAATGCATGTACAAAAGTCTCCACCAAAAAGCTAGGTTGTTGTGATTCGCTGACAGAGCATTGGTTTATAAAGGGTTATACGAGTGATTTTTAGCATGTTGATCTGTGGTTACTATAGATACTATATACTATACTATAGACTCTGGGCTGTTATGCTTGGTTGCCAGAGCATTGCTATATGATTGCTAATAGGTTCTAAGTGAATTTTAGCATGTAGATGTGTCATTGCTTGACCATTGCCAATTAGCTGCATTCTGATAAAACTTGAGTGGTGCTTACAGGAATAGTTAACCCAAAAATGAAAATTCTGTCATTAATTACTCACCCTCATGTCATTCCAAACCCGTAGGACCTTCGTTCATCTTCAGAACACAAAGTAAGATATTTTTGATGAAATCCGAGAGCTTTCTGACCCTGCAT